GGCTCTGTAAAGTAGCTATCACTGCTGGCGATAAGCGCATACAATACTCGGCAGTTAGAAGGGAGTGAGATTGAGTGTTAAATAGTGAGTGAGTGATATGAAACAGCTGTGTGCAATCAGTGCTGTGTGCAATCAGTGTAATGAATGATGGGATATGTAGTCCGGGGTGATATGCAACAGTGTGTAGTGCGAGAGTCAATGAAATGGAAAGGGTGACCTCTGATGGCTAGCAGATGGAAGGTCATGGACCGGATACGTAACACTCTGCAGGGAACCGACTGTCTTCAGAAAAGTTTCGATGGCATTTTCATTTTATCTGATAAAGTAGAGTTTATGAGCCAAGCGCTGCTTTGTTTACAACCGTTAATGGGGAAACCGCTATATTGCTGATGTTCCAAAAGCGCCTCCTACTAGCAGAAAAGGAAAGTGCATTTTCAATAATCCCGTCAGCAGTTTTTGTTCAGACCAATGCGAAAATCCACCCACATAACTTCGTTTTAAATTAATATAATAATTTATACTTCTGACTCAACTATGAGGTTTATCATTTTAAATTAATTTTGTTTTTGGGAAAACCTATATCTCAACTGTAAATCAATTGCTATTTTGTGGTCTACAACATGAAAGAAAGCCATTATAGCATGTACATGAAAAATGTAGAGACACTGGTCACAACTATGGGGCAGCATTGTGCAGCAGCAAGTATCACAACAAAAAAGGAACCTCAAGTTTGATCTAGGAAAATGTGTGCAAATGTATAGGGCCCCGTTCCTATATTTTGCCTGGGGCCCCCAATTCACTAAATCCGCCCCTGCTTCAGATATAAGGTTTTCTGAGCGCACACATCCGAAGCACTCGGACAGAAAGCGGCTGTCACAGCATGTGAGTACTAAACTAAGTTCTCATTCACACACAAGTTTACATTAAAAACACACATGAGTTACAGAAACAGTGGGTTATGTCTGTGAAGGTAAACAGCTGGGAAATAAATTGCATGTTTATTTTAGATCTGTGTGGCAGCAGCAATATACATTAAATAAATCAATAAATCCACTGCTCTGTTGTCTCCTCTGAGGCTGGAACTCTAAATAGTGTTCTGTGCTCGTCTGTGCAGCCAAAGACAGAACAGTTAGCACGTTTTGCTCAAACTTTCGCCATGACATTAGAACTGGTACACCGTTGTCGCTTGCGAAATCAAAAATGATGGTGCCTTGAGTGGAAGTTTACAGATTAAAGGGTGATAATATTATAATGAGATCCCTTTGCCACGTCACCAAGGGAGCGAAATCAGACGCGCTCGTTTTCTCAGACGCTTGCAGAAAAAGGCTTCCCAAAACAAAGTTACTGGGTTAATCTTTTTCACGTTTCCTTGGTTGGTAGATGCACCGGGGACCTGATTATAGCACTTAAAACCTGGAAAAGTCAGATTTTCATGATATGTCACCTTTAAGCTTTGAACCAAACCAGCTGGTTCTGAGATGAATCATAGCATTCGATTTAATGCAAAAAAAAATCTGAAAATCTGAAAAAAAGACAAATTGACATTTTCTGAGCGAATGAATGAACGACTTATCCTGTAAAGCAATGGGAATGAATAAAACCAGCCTGTTTTTTGTGTCTTTCCATCACAGCTTCTTATTAACATATTAACTACGTAGGTGGCCTCCTTGCCTTAAACGACAAAGTGCACAAGGTTAAGTGTGTCTTGAAAGCTTTCTGTATGGAGCGCTAAATTCGGTCTACGTGGGTGAAATACTCACTGTTGGTCTCCATGCTCTCACAAAGCTCGGTCTTCACTTCCCCGTTGGGCCGGTCGCTTCCCGTCTGTACAAGTTTCCCTGACATGGTGGCAGCAGTGACGATAGCTTTGAAGCTGCGCTTGCGTTTGGGCACGTTCTGCTCCGGGTGGAGGATGATGACGTAGACTTTGGGCATGTAGAGCATCCCCAGAGACACAGACGCGCTGAGGCTGAGAGAGATGGTGAGGGTGGTGGTCTGGATGTACATCTGAAAACAACACGCATCAGAACAGAGAGAGAGAGGGAAAGTCAAGGTAAGTCAGAGATGAACCAGGTCTGTAGTTCCTCAGTTTGAAGTCTCTCTAGCTATAATAATCAACCGTTTTAAACCATTTCTTGGTCTTTTTACACATTTTAAAACCTTCAGAACTGTAACAGCAGCTCCTGTGAGGCCTAGCTTATACAATAAAGTCATCCAATAAAACATTTTTATGCCAAATTGAAGTTTTATACAGATTTATATTATATAGTTAATATTTAACAAATGTAATAATGTAATAATAACAACAACACAATGACATTTAACAAAGAACAAAAAATGAGTTGATAAATCATGCCAGGAACATTTTTCACACTACAATCAAATGACAAAAATAAAATGTTATATTGCTATATATAATAAAATAAAATACAAATAATAATAATTAAAACATAAAAATCATTACTGTAATGTGAAAAATATGTAAATGGTTGAAGCATCTGTAGTATTTGTTATACTGCCTTTAATTATAATTTAAATGTGAAAATAACAATAAAATAATTAAAATAGTAATAATAAAATAATACAAAAAAGGGTATTTATTTATTTTACTGTATATTTTTCATCATTTTCTATTTCGATTTTATTTTTATTTTAGCACAACAAAATAGTGCGGTACTTTTATTTCAAGTAACAACATTTTTTATGCTTTATGTAGTTTTAGTTGACTATAATATTTTTTGTTTTAAATAAAAACAACAGATATACTTTTTAAATAGTTTATTGAAGTTGTAACATTATCTGTGTTGTCACAATAGATAATGTTTTCAAAACGAGCCAGTTTTATATCATATAATATTTTATTAAATTTCACTGATTGATTGATTTAATTTTATTCATTAAAATAAATGTATTACATTTATTTTGTTACCAAAAGTCAATTTATACAGTTTCAGTTGTATCTTTGTCTCCAGCAGGGGCAAATATCACAGAGAACGGCTGCTAGCAGATGGCGAGACACGCTTCAGTCCAAATGCACAGTGAAAACTAGAGACAGATAGTAAGTGTGCTAATGCAGAAGCGTAATGAAAAGCATCGGTCAGAGAGTGGCTCCAGCCACCCGCTAACCCGCTGATCCGTAGCGGGACTGGACTGGATGACATTGGCGGGTGTGCTAACGTGTTCAGAGCGGAGATCAGTGCGGTTCTGAAGACAATCCACTGGGGTGAATGCTTAGTGATATTTACAGAGCGAACAGAAACAGGTTTGGATGAGCTGCCAAACGGGAAGGAGACATGTTAAGTGTTCAGTCAACACTAGATAAGGCCTAATACAGAAGGCAAACCTACCTAGTGAGCTACTAACTACATAGGGTGCTGCCTTCTAAGTGAAATCAAATCAAAATATGAAATAAACTTGTGAATAATAAAAAAAAAACAATTCATAAATAGAGCAAATTATATATGTTTTTAAATTCTAAAAATGTTCTTATAGGGATATGGTTGGGGTTTTGGTCTACAGTTTTTACTTTTTTTCAAAAATAAATACTCTTATTCATCAAGGATGCATTAAATTGATCAAAAGTGACAGTAAAGACATTTATGATGTTATAAAAGCTTTCTATTTCAAATAAACGCTGTTCTTTTAAACTTGAAATGTTTTCAATATTGATAATAATAAGAAATGTTTCAGAAAATCACAGAAATTAATTACATTTTAAAATATATTCAAATAGAAAACTGTTTAAACTGTTTGTTGTATAAATTGTAATAATATATCACAAATTTTGCTTTTTTAAAACCTTTTTAACAATTATAAAATATATATAATTTAATTTCTAATTTGTGATAGCTAAGTAAATTGGGGAGTATAATGTATGTATATAATGTATATTATGCTTACACACACACACACCACAGAGCAACTCAAACACTGAATCGGTTTCTAAGTTCAGGAATTGCAGGTAATCACCTGAGACCGGCTCCGCAGATATCGATCCAAAGCGGTCTGACACAGATTGAAGATTTTCCACTAAAAGCTACATATAACTCAGCATTAATCTGCTTCTAGATCAAAGAAATCACCTCAGACTAACAACCTTCCCGTTGATACCAGTCAGAGGAAACACTGCTCATTATATATAATCACCAAACTTCTGAGTTCTCAATAACTTCAGCTTTAAACGGCTGCTTTTCTGGGAACAGCTATAGAGTACATGACAACTCTGATGCCATATTAGACATCATCTTCCACTCTGCGGGAATATAAAGTATTGATCTTAGCTGTATTAAGAACTTTAAGAGTCACTCAACCAGAGAGTCTTCACAACTCAGTAGAAGCTTTATTTTTTTTATTATCTTTTTTCATTTTCATTTAAGTTACATTTTAGTAATTTTGTGTTTTTGTCTCTTTTTTCATGTCTGTATATTTTTCATCATTTTCTATTTCTATTTTATTTTTATTTTAGCACAACAAAATAGTGCGGTACTTTTATTTCAAGTAACAACATTTTTTATGCTTTATGTAGTTTTAGTTGACTATAATAACCCCGATTTCTTAATATTTTTGTTTTAAATAAAAACAACAGATATACTTTTTAAATAGTTTATTGAAGTTGTAACATTATCTGTGTTGTCACAATAGATAATGTTTTCAAAACGAGCCAGTTTTATATCATATAATATTTTATTAAATTTCACTGATTGATTGATTTAATTTTATTCATTAAAATAAATGTATTACATTTATTTTGTTACCAAAAGTCAATTTATACAGTTTTCTTTCGTTGTGCCAGAATCAGTCATTATTAATCAGTCGGATGTGTTAACAGCAAAAGTGGATTTGTTTGAAGATCAGTCATTTTCACAGTTATTTTGGATCTGGGCAGGATGTTTAAAGTACTAAAAGTTACAGTAAAATACATCAAACTCTTTCAATCAATGTAAATTTGACCCCCTAAGCTCTTAAAGTCAGAAAAATAATTGAAAAATCCTGCCAAATCGAGGTTAAATCTAATCTCATTTAAAACATTTTCCAGCGGGTTTAATAGAATCAGCCATATATAAGCCAGAGTTATAATTAAAACAAAAAAATTCTGAAGTAACATAAAGAGGCTGAGTGGAGGACAGAGGAGCCTCTTAAAGAAGAAGTTACAGGTCTGTGAGAGCCAGAAATCTTGCTTGTTTGTAGGTGACCAAATACTTATTTTACCGAGGAATTTACCAATTAATTCTTTAAAAATCCTACAATGTGATTTTCTGGATTTTTTTTCTCATTTTGTCTCTCATAGTTGATGTATACCTATGATGAAAATTACAGGCCTCTCTCATCTTTTTAAGTGGGAGAACTTGCACAATTGGTGGCTGACTAAATACTTTTTTGCCCCACTGTATGACTGAATGAATGAACGCCGTCACACTGAGCACTTCATCACATGTCGATTACACAGTAGATCCTCAGGAACTCTTGAGGTCTGAAGTTAAACAGATGATTGTAGCATATAGAGCTGTATTTAAAGTCTAAATTACACTTCTCCTTAATGCATTTCAGAACCAGAGCCAAATAAAACAGTGTAAGTGATGTGTATTCAATGCACCTGCAGGTAGTATGCACATTTTCACACATGATCAGACCGGTCAAGTCTGAGAGAGAACTGTAGTGTACACTAGATCATAGATGCATTGCTGTATAAGTGATTGATTTGGAACATAGAGTTTGCCACCATGTATTAATTTTTCTTAAAAATGCCATCTAGATAGGCATCTCTCTAGCTTTTGAATAAGAGTTTGTGTGACATGGTTATTGGCGAGGTCTTATTGCTGATCTATTTCCTTTCCGCCCACCCAAATAGAACGGCGGATCGCAATAAAATCGGAATTACTGTTGCCGCATGATCCGATAGTGAAGCACACACACACACAAAGAGCTCCAGAAGCGACCTGCGCGTGTCTGTCATTCCTCTGCCTGCCAATTCCCCTGGGGTTTCATGAAGCCTCTCAATGCCCCGTGTCACTCTTAATTAGTTTTGAAGAATCCTCGTACAGAAGCAGCCAGCAGACTATCAGCCTGGACTTCTAATAGCTCTCCGTTTCCAAAGCCTGCGGCTCACAGAACTCATTTGAACAGGTTTGTAAAGGCTTTTTCTCAGGTGACGGCACATGTTATTTTCTGGGCCAGAGAGCACAACCCCATGTGTGCGAGTTGGAGGGTGGGCAAACGGGGAGTTTGGGAGGGTAAATGTAAAATTCATTCAAAAACATATTACAGAACTACAGTATTCCTCACTTTCTGTCCCAAATCATATTTCACTCAACAGGCCACATCCAGAAAACATCGCATGCAACTGACCCGAGTGTAATCCAACTAAAACTAAAACCATAAAAACATTTTTGTTACTTGAAACAAAATAAATATTAACTGAAATTGAAACTGAAATAGATAAATAAATAAATAAATAAATAAATAAAAAATAAATTCCAGCTTGTTGCCAAGGCAACATTTCAATTTTTTGTGTAGTTTAACTTGTAGTAAAAAAAAAAAACTAGACCTAGATAAATAAACTAAAACTAATAGATAAAAATGAATAAAAACTATATAGACAAACAAATTAAAATGTCAAATTGTTAAAGCCCTAGTGCATTAAATCTGCATAATTGATAAACTCATGTATCTCGAAGCAGTTTTAACTGCACGTGGCGTATGTGCACATATGTGTAATAAATTCATGCTTTTCATCTCAAACACAAACACCTGTCGAGGGCAACCAAGTTAACTTTGTGTGAGCCGCTCACGTTATGCAAAGGTACTATATATATATATATATATATATATATATATATATATATTTATTTATTTAATAATTTTTTCATACGAATAGTCAACGTTTTCTCAGCAGCTGTAGTTGATTTATACTTTTCCACTAGAAAAACACCGGCATCTGGTCACTATAAACAGATGTGTGAGATTTTCTGCAGTCATTCAAAAAATGTATCTTGCTCATTTGTCACTAA